AGGTCACAATCATAGTCATCGCAATACCAGGTGATAGCAAGGTCGACGAGAAGGAATATGAAAAAATCGCGAAATACCAGGACTTAAAAATCAAAATTCAACAATTATGGCACCATTCAACAATGGTAATTCCACTGGTAATTGGCACACTGGGTGCTATTCCAAAAGCACTGGAATTACATTTAAAACAGTTAAAAATTGACAAAATCACCATCAGTCAAATGCAAAAAGCTGCACTGCTTGGATATGCACGAATATTACGAAAATACGTTACCACGTCCTAGGCCCCTGGGTGGGGCCCGACTAGCAACCAATTCCAAATCTGGCGAAACAACTGGCTGCTGTGATACAATTGTATAATAATATCTTTTTCTTCAATATTTATCCAAAGTAATTGAAATTCTGAAGATTTATCCAACTAACTCTCCAACTAAGAATGTTATTGAGAATGTATTCAACATATGTCTCACATATTACTGTTCCCATTTTCTCTTTCTCTCTCTCCCCATCTTTCTCTCTCTCTCTTTTTCATCATTCAATTCATTCATTCATTCATTCATTCATTCATTCATTCATTCATTCATTCATTCATTCATTCTCATTTATTCTTTAATTCATTCATTTCATATGCTATCCATCTTCCAGTTAAGGCAACTTGATGTAGCTGTCTTCCTTGCAATACAGAAATACCTTTCCAATATTACTGAGAGTAAAAGAAAGGAAATTTTGCATATTATAACAACCACCTACTGAATTTGCATTTATATCAAAATGCCTATCCTGAGGCCCCAAGGCTCTGTTGCTCTAAGATCTTAAAATGTTGCTACAAAATTGTGAAGTTTAATAAAATAATTGATGCCAAAGCTAAAACATTTGATTACATTTACATGTAGCTATATTTACAATTGATAGCAAATAAAATCTTTTTGTCTTGACCTCATATTATAACTTTTTAGGGTGTGATTCTCAGTGTGCCACCGTTCAAAGGTGAAATGCAAATTTTGGCATAAAAACCACAACCCTGATTTATATCTTAGTTTCTTATATAAACAAAGAAGTGGTGGCTCAGTGGCTAAGACATGATGAGAAAGGTCGATTGTTCGGCAGTTCAAATCCCTAGTGCCGCGTAATGGAGTGAGCTCCTGTTACTTGTCCCAGTTTCTGCCAACCTAGCAGTTGGAAAGCATGTAAAAAATGCAAATAGAAAAAATAGGGACCACCTTTGGTGGGAAGGTAACAGTGCCTTTGATGTTTAGTCATGCTGGCCACATGATCACAGAGATGTCTTCGGACAGCGCTGGTTCTTCGGCCTTGAAACAGAGATGAGCACTTTCCACGTAGTCGGAAACAACTAGCACATATGTGCGAGGGGATCCTTTACCTTTACCTTCTTATATCAACACTGTGAACATCTACTGGTGGTTTATAATCCTTTTAAGTCACATTTAATGATCATCTATCTGTTTAAACAGATGCTAGTGGTATTTCGAAATCCCAAAGATGCAGCTACATCCTATTATCATTTTTACAACAAAAATCCTTTGCTTCCTAATACTAGTTCCTGGGATGACTTCTTTCAAAAGTTTATGAGTGGTGAAGGTATGTTATGTTATCTTACTTTGTATGTTTGTTCGTTTATAAAATTTATTGGCTGCCATCTTACCGTAAGATAATTCTGGGCGGCTTACAGTAAAAAAAAAAATTACATTAAATATAAATGTAAACATAAATAAATTAAAATCAAAGATTAAAATATAAGGACAAGTCGGGAGGGCGGGAGCTGAGTGGGGCGGAGATGGGATACATTGTTATTCGATCAACCACCTCCACTGGGGCCCATTCCCCCATTGGAGTCCCAAGCCAACTGGCAGAGTCAGGTCTTTAGGCCCTTATAAAAGGATAGGAAGATTAGGACCAACCTCACATCCCCACAACCTCAATATATATTCCTTTTAATCTTCTCAAATCCTCCCATTTACAATTCTGCTTATCCTAAAAAAAGGTTTCTTGTTAAATTGGAATCTGGTCCTATCTAAGTGATTGCATAGAAGCATAACTTTTTTTTCTTTAACTCATTCAATGAAGAAATATCGAAGAAAAATAAATGCAGGGGATTGGCGTATTGGCATACAAAGGAAGTATTTAATTGGGACTTGAACTTCAAAAAGCTGTCTATTATTTATGTTTTTAGCATATTTCTTATTTCAATCTAGTTCTTCCTGTACATTTTTAATACCAGTAGTAAAAACTAACATGCATCAGCAAGTTTAAAATGGTAATTTATTTAATTCATAAAGTATATCAGAAGCTGTTTGCTGTAGCATTCCCGGTTACATAAATTAAACTATGGATGAGTATATTTGCAAGAGGTATACTTTTACTACTTTGGAAAACATTCGAAATATAATTTGTTTATAAATAATATTGTAAAAATCACATCATGGCACAGCTTATGATATATAATACATCCTCTTTTTCCCCCGCAAGATGGTGAAAGCAAAAGAGGTGATTCTAAATTTTGGGGTTCCCTTCTCATTCTTTCTGTGATCAGAAGGCAATACTCAGTGATCTGAATAAGAACAGTCAAAGAAGCCCTCATCTTAAAAATGAGTGTAATTTATTTATTATTTCAATTTATATGCAGCCCAGAGTTTAGAAATGGAATTGCATACAAATTGAAGTAATATATGAAATTTAAAATAAAATACAGATATTTCCCATATGTTTCAAGCAACTTGAAGGGAATTACTAAGAGTAATCTTCAGATTAATTTTTAGCTAAAATGTGATATCAATTGAACGTTGTAAAATTATCACAGTGTTTCAGAACTTTTTGGAGGATCAGAAATCCCCCCCCCCCTTGTGATAAAAGAATTCTCACATAGCAGGAATTCTAGAATGATATCCCTGCAAGTACTGGTAGTATCAGACTTCTCCTAACAAACTATGATTCAGATTATAATAATTTATCACTAACTGAATTAGAACAAACTTAGACAAATTTCATCACGTAATCCAGCTGGTTTGCTTATTTTATTTGCATATTATAAAAATGTACCCTATGCAGGTCAGCCTGAAGCCAATATCACGTTGAATTGTACCCAGATATCTCATACTTACAATAGACTCAATGAAATAAGATTAAAATAGCCATGATAAACCTGGTTCCAATCCAGTTGATATGATTGAGAGTGTTACATTTTCCTTGTTTTGTGTAGAAAACTTAAATAGCTGATGATATAGCGATTGTGTACATTTTATTTCAGTTGGGTGGAGTTCCTACTTTGACCATGCTCTGGCTTGGGACAAACATATGGATGAAGAAAATGTAATGATAATTACCTATGAAGAACTGAAAGAAGTAAGTCTTTTAGAAATTAAAATAATATTTGTATTACACATTCATTTTGCTGTAGCCTATAGCTATGGAGGAAACCTTCTCCAGCATCCCCCAATACAAGCAATTTCTATATGTCCAGATAGGCATCTGTGGGAAGGGGCAATAAAGATACTGGTGACAAAAAAGTGAATTATAATATTTTGATGCAAATCCTATGACTTGTGTCCAGTACCAGGCAAAGCAAAAAAAGCAAAAAAACTTGGAGTTTGTGCAATGACATCATCATACATGCATGACCATTTTTTCATCACCATCATGAGAAGTGGTGAACATTCCTGCTTTAGGTCCCAAGATTGTTGTTCAGGCTGATCCAGATTTATGAACTGAAATTGGCTTGGAGATCTGATAAATAAATGGGGGAACCCAGATAAAAAAATGCAAAGTTCCTGCTTTCCCAAATAGAATTTCCCTGGAGGATATCACCAGCCAGAAGGAGTCAATTGGTTGCTAGCAGAGGTGGTATTCAGCAGGTTCTGACCAGTTCTGGAGAAACGGTAGTGGAAATTTTGAGTATTTCGGAGAACCAGTAAATACCACCTCTGACTGTCCCTGCCCTCATCTATTCTCTGCCTCCCGAGTCCCAGCTGATCGGAAGGGAATGGGGATTTTGCAGTAACCTTCCTCTGGAGTGGGGTGGGAATGGAGATTTTATAGTATCCTTCTCCTGCCACGTCTACCAAGCCATGCCCACCAAGCTACACCCACAGAACCGGTAGTAAATAATTTTGAATCCCACCACTTGGGATTCTAGGCTGATCCTGTAACATTAATAGAAGCATGTCAGAGTCTATACAGAGAACTGCACAACTTGTTGACTGCTTAAGGGAACAGTGACGACAACTTTAAGCTGCTTCAGGTATGGTCAGAGACAAAATGAGGTCAATGGTATGAGCCTAACAGAGTGCAGGGCACAAGTGGGAAAGACTTTTATTCTTCTATCCTGTGTGTCGTAGGATGTCTAGGAAATGAGCTAGGTTGCATTGACACATTGTTCTTTGTCACTGTTCGCTTAAGCATGGTTTCTTTGTTAGTATGATAATCCATAAACTATGCTTTATGAATCACAATGGCTAGAATTATTCAACACCTAAACTACAAATAAATATACTTTTAGTGCAGTGTAAAAAATCTACCCTTGTTCTTTAGTGTTTGGTCTCAATGTTATGCTTTGACTTTTCTGTGTTGCAAAGCTTGATAATTAATATAGAGTGTATTTTCATTATTTAATCTACTTGATATCCAGGTTATCTGGGCTAAATATTTAAAATGAAAATATAACTTAGAGGCTCATTTTCACCCATTCTTGTGTGTCAAAGCAGTGTACAATGTACAGGTAATCCTCACTCAACATCTATCACGTTTAGTAACTATTCGTGAATACAGTGTTGAAAATGTAACTTTATAACTCATCCTCATACTTACAACCATCACAGCATCTCCATGATCACATGGTTGAGATTTAGGCGCTTTGCAATTGCAGGGTATTTACAACCTTCACCAAGTCCCATGGTCACATTATCACTTTTTATATGCTTCATGGCTGTCTTTCAACAAGCAGAGTCAATGAAGAAGCCGACAGTAAAATCCCAAATCACGATCATGTGATGTCTCCCTCAACAGCCATATTGCTTAGCAAACTGAGTTGCTGGTCCCAATTGTTGCTGTGAAATGAAGACTACCTGTATTATTTTAAATGCTTCTAGAGGTGAAATAATTGATTGTACTATTTTGCAGAACCTTCTGGAAGGAGTCAAACGAATTGCTGACTTTTATGAACTCCCCCTATCTGATGAGATGATTAAGTCTATTGCAGATAAGGCTACCTTTCAAGCAATGAGCAGCAAACTTCCGGAAGTTCTTGGTCAATTTGCTTCTGTTATTTTCAGAAAAGGTATTATTTCCCTCATGTCTCAAGACTGCTGTGTTAAGAAGCTATTTCTTCAAAGTACACACATGTCCTCTAGTGGAGATAATTAATATTAAAAGCAACTACTAAGGTTTATGATTTGCTATAGTATCAGTAGTTTGAGGGCCTATTTCAAAGTTTTATCTTGCTGCTGCATTGCAGAATAGAAACAGAAATCCTTTAAAAGACACTGGAATGTCTTTTTACTTTTATCATCATACGTAAAACATAAACCTGATCTAATAAGTGTATTTCATTCTTTAAATAAACACATTCATGAATCCTGCTACCTAACCGAAGCAACCTAACACCTGCCAAATGGTTTGGACTTTAATTACCCCATCACCTCATTTGGTTTATGCTCAAGTGTCTTAGCCTATAAAGCTTTATTATCCGGAATACTCATGAAGTTCAACAGGTCTTATTTCTGAGTACTGTAGAATTGCATATGAATATATTACAAAGCATATAAATGATGCGCGATTCCACATTCCAAAGATGTTTCAAACTGTTGAAACTGTTATAGATGAAGACATAAATAATTCTTTTTTCATTAATCATGTACAGGTGAAGTGGGCGATTGGAGAACTTTGTTCACTGAAGCTCAGAGCAAAGAAATGGATGCAAAATTTGAAGCATGTTTAGCTGGGACTAAACTGGGTGCAAAACTAAAATATGATAAATATTGTAAATTTTAAGATGTGTACTTTTGAAATGAAGTCATTTAGACATACCTTTTCTAAATGAGAAATTAAATTAATAAACTAATATATATATGTGTGTGTGTGTGTGTGTTTTATTTTATTTTTATTTGTGCTGATAAATAAATAAAGGGAGACTAGTATAGATCTATTTCAAGCTATTTAGCTCTCATCAGCTAGCCATACCCTTACTGGGATTTGAATATATATATATATATATATGTATGTGTATGTGTATGTGTATGTGTATGTGTATGTGTATGTGTATGTGTATATATATATATATATTAAGAGGTTTTACTGTTTGGTTTTTCTTTATGTTTATTCAATCTAATTTTATCTTTCAGACAAGATTTAGTAAATTAACATGTAAATGCTGTGGAAGTGTTATTATGAAATTGTCTTTTATATTTTTAAAAGAGTCCTAGTGGACAACCTAGTGGAGTCCTAGTGGACAACCATTTAAATATGAGCCAGTAGTGTGCAGCAACTGCCAAAAAAGCCAACACAGTTCTAGGCTACATAAACAGAGGAATAAAATAAAGATCACTTTATAATGCCTTGGTAAGGCCACACTTGGAATACTATATTCAGTTTTGGTCACCACAATGTTAAAAAAAATGTGGAGACTCTAGAAAGAGTGCAGAGAAGAGCAACAAAGATGATTAGGGGACTGGAGACTAAAACATATGAAGAACGGTTGCAGGAACTGGGGATGTCTAGTTTAATGAAAAGAAGGACTAGGGGAGAGATGATAGCAGTGTTCCAATATCTCAGGGGTTGTCACAAAGAAGAGGGAGTCAAACTATTCTCCAAAGCACCAGAACAAGAAGCAATGGGTAGAAACTAATCAAGGAGAGAAGCAACTTAGAACTGAGGAGAAATTTCCTGACAGTTAGAACAATTAATCAGTAAATGCCCCAACACTGGAAGTCTTTAAGAAGATGTTGGATAGCCATTTGTCTTAAACGGTATAGGGTTTCCTGCCTAGGAAGGGGGTTGGACTAGAAGACCTCCAAGGTCCCTTCCAACTCTGCTATTGTATTGTAATAACCATCATACTTCAAAGAGACAACAATTCTATCCCTTTTGAAACAACATTGCAATTCACAAACACTTTGTCATATATAATCCTGCCAAAAGCCAGAGTTTCAACCTCTTGCTGATATCTTCCTTTGGCAGAAAATATTGTAGAATAAAGTAGAAAGTATTCTGCTATTCTAGATCGAATCCTTACCAAGAGAGAGCGATTGGTTGAAGAAGTATTCATAGTATCCTTGAATTCATTATATCCAAAAGAGAAACAGCTTAGAAGAGTCAACATTGCATATAAGAATTCAGAAGAGAAGATTCTAATGAACTCCATTGGAGGATAAACTGGATTTAATCTTTAATGGAAAAAGGATCTAGGAAGGACAGAAAAAGCTATGCTATGGAAATATTGAAGGGATAGATGGCCATAATAAAATAAGCATGCCCAATTGATCAGAGAGGAAGGGTACTAATTTAACATTCAGATGATTATATTTAAATACAGGTGACTAAATTACAAAAATGTTTCATGATTTTAACTGTTTTTAATTTGTAATGGCTTTTCTGGTTATGTTTTTGGTAATTTTGTCTTTTTTACTTTTACTCAAGAGACACATATTGGAGATGGATGGCTATATTTGGTTTTTTTTAAAAAAGATTTTATCCTACCTTTTTTCATATACAGTTCAGAGCAGCAATTTTTTCCTCTTTCACCTATTTTCCCCAGAACAACAACCCTGTGGACTGAAAGAGAGAGAGGGTGACTGTCCCAAAGTCACCCAGCTGTTTTTTCATAACTAGGAACTCAGTCTCCTGGTTTCTAGGCCGGCACCTTAATCACCTCACTATACCACACCACACCACACCACACATCAAACTCTCTCTCTCACACACACACTAAATAAAGACTATTCATTATTTTTGCTTCTGCTGAAAAGATATAAATATGTTCACAACCACCAAGTAATTTTTTTTTGAACTTCCCCTAGCAAATGTGCAATATACTAATAATACTGGCTATCCATTTAAGATTTCTGCAAAGATTTCTGGGTAATATCTGCAGCACATTTTGTATGCTTGAAACAATAATTATAACATCTCTTTTCACTAAGACAGTTATCAGTCCCAAACCGCTCATTCATTATCAGAAAATTGAATGAGAGGTTCATTCATAGTAATGGGTAGAGTCATAGGCCACTTTTTAATCAGTGATTTAAGCACTACACAGCCATCTTATCAGAATAAAGCAATGCCAACTTAATATTGGCTTCCCATCACTAATCTCTTTCCCTTCTTTTTAGATTCCAAGCTAAGTCATGTTAACCTGATTTCAGATATATTAGTTTTAGGTAATCTCTGATGGCATTAATGCCAACTCCCTTCAGCATATCACCAACTGATGCAAAGAATGCAGCCGCGCGAGCTATTGTGGGTGTACCTAGGTACACCCACGTTACACCCATTCTCCGAACTGCACTGGCTTCCCATTGGTCTCCGGACACGCTTCAAGGTGCTAGTCGTTACTTTTAAAGCCCTTCATGGTATCGGACCTGGCTACCTGAGAGACCGTCTCCTGCCAGTTATCTCCCAGAGACCTATTAGATCCCACAGATTAGACCTCCTCCGATTCCATCTGATGGTCAATGTCGGCTGGCGCCTCCCCGGGGGAGGGCCTTCTCTGTGGCTGCTCCGGCCCTATGGAACGATCTCCCCGTTGAGATCCAGACCCTTACAACCCTTCCGCAAAGCGACC